TTTCCTGGGTTGCTTCTCACATCGACCCATTGACAATTGTTAGATGCTATTCTTTCTAAAATCTCATATGCTTCATTGTATGTCTTTGACAAAATATCTCCATTGGCGGAAGCATCAACTACTTGTTTAGTAGCTGTATTTAATCCATTGTAGAAAGTCTCTATTTGTATACAATGAGGTAGTCCATGGTGAGGACACTTTCTAAGCGTCTCCTTAAATCTCTCCCAAGCTTCACTTAGTGTCTCATTTTCAAACTTTTGAAAAGCAACAATCTCATTTCTAAACCGTGCGCTTCTAGTGGGTGGGAAATACTTGAACAAGAATTTCTCTGCTAGACTATTCCAAGAATCAATTATTCCCAGTGCTAAGATATTCAACCATGATTTAGCACCATCCCTCAATGAATATGAGAAAAAGCTCAGTCTAATCACGTCTTTATCCACTCCTTGGAATCGAAATGAGTCACTAACTCCCAAAAATGACTTTAAGTGTAGGTGAGGATCTTTCGACGATAGTCCATGAAATTGCCCAATGGTTTGCAACATTTGAAACATCACGGGCTTTAGCTCAAACGTGGTTGCTTGCATTTCGGGTCTAATAATGCACGGATTTAGCTCTTCCACAGCTGGGTGTGCATATGCTCGGATTGCTCTTTCTCTATCATCTGCTACATGAATGGCATTAGCAGTGATTCTCTCTTGATTAGCCATCATCACTGGATTTTCAAACTAACGATTCAGTTGGGCCATTTGCTGTATATTCTGTTCTGCCATTTTCTGTTTCTCCCTCAACTTTCGTCTAAAGTATCTTCTATTTCAGGATCAAAAATAAATTTCAAACCCGTAGGTGGGTTCATGCACAGAATTCTGCAGCAGTAAGCTCAATTCTGCAGCAGTAAATTCCGCAGTAGAAAATTCAGCTTACTATGGTTTCTTTTTTGCTCCAACTCACGAAAATCTACAACAAGTAAAATAACCAAATTAGTTCCCCGGCAACGGCGCCAAAAACTTGATCGCTTGTGGATGTATATAATAAAATGATGTAAAATTCATAAGAATAAGTGCAAGTATACACTATCACAAGTAGCAAGTAGTAAGTAAATTATCGATTCCACATAGAACCTATCTTTTTGGTTAATTTTATTACTGGAAATTAAGTGAGTTTTTTTTTGTAACATTCAAATGGGTGTGGGTGATTTTAACTACTTAAACAAAACTAAAACAGAGTGCCACTGCTGTCGAATGACGAGAAAATCAATTATAATGAGGAAGGTTCGGCTAAGAGAAATTAAATAGATAAGTTGTTGAGTTTTGTGGTAGATTTTAGTTCCTTTTAATAGATTCTCAAGCCCACCGAGGGTCATGAATGGTGATTATTTCCATAATCGTTGTAATTTCTATTAACAAGGCTGTAAGAGGAATTATTCCTAACCCTCTATTACTCTTCAAGTCTCCTTGCTATGGAACTAGAGTCTTAAAAAGGATTTCATTGCTCCCTCTCTTCTTCCGAATAAGAGAACAACTATATATGTAAAGTAGCTAATTAAACATACATGTAAATCATTAACAACAACTCTTTAATAAACTAAAATCATACCGTCAACATACTTAAACTATATAAAACTCTCTCGCCTTCCCTATTAAGTTTAGCTCTCCATACAAACTGAATTAAACAAAGGAGTCCGCCTCTTCAAAATTGATGGAATAAGGAAAGAGAATAAGGAAATAGAGAGTTATCCCGGTTTGTTGCCGTTCGTCAATGGAAGTTCCCTTCTCTTGAGCTCTAACGTTCACTTCTTTGCCCTAATCAATCCTTGTTGGTCTCCTTTTCCTACTGCAGTCAACAGCAGCTGGATTAGAGTTTTCTTCTTCTTCTCTGGTTTCACGCAGAGGCTGTTGCTGTGTAATTTGATTTTTCTCCCCAAAGTGTGGTTCTCCTCCTCTTGGTCTTCCTTTTCCTTTTATATTTCCCATGAGTTCCCCTTTAGGGTTGAAAATGAATAAGTTGTCCACTCCTTCATTGGGCCTCTAGGGCTGGAAAGGAATAATTTGTCCACTTCTTCATTCGACCTTTAGGGCTGAAAATGAATAAGTTGTCCACATAGGATATTCTTCATTGGGTAATCAATGACCCACTTGGACTGCTGATGTGGATTTAAAATTTTCATGTCATCCCCCATTTATTTCCAAATTTGCTACTCCCTCATGGTTAAGCATAAATGTCTGAAATTTTACCATATAACTCAATTAAATGTACAATTAAGATCGATTTATGCAAAATCATATTTTTTTCATGTTGGATTGCAATAAACGATTTCATGCTCACTAAGTTGAATAAATGGGGTAAATAATGAGAAAATGGTGAATACGAGTGCCATATTAAATACAAAAAGACTTGATATGACTCTACTTTTAAAGAGTTATCAGGTTCTAAACTTCTCGTTTCAATTTTACCTAGATCTGAGGAGTTTCTTGAGTGATAGATATGTAGTTTTTGAGTTATGTAACTAAAAGAGGATTCACACAAGGTACTAACAACCTTCTATTGATAAAATAGGCTATTGTATTCACAGCATCAGTCTAGAATGTCTTTGGTAGTCCAAAATAAATTCTCATGCTTCTTGTCCACTTATTCAATGTTTTGTTCATTCTTTCTGCAACGCCATTTTGTCTTGCCTTACTAGGAACTGTCCTCATTAATCTAATTCTCTCAGCTACACAAAATGTTTTAAACTCTAACTTATAGTACTCTCTTACATTGTCAAGCCTCAAGCATTTGATCTTCAAGTCGATCTGATTTTCAACTTTAGCTTTCCACTTCTTGAAGTTGGCAAACACATATGACTTATGGTTCATGAAATAAATCCACACCTTCCTACTGAAATCATCGATGAAGGTGACGTAGAACTCTGTTCCGCCAAGGAATGGAACTGGAGATGGCCCCCAAACGTTTGTATGGACCATGTCCAACCACACTTCAATTCTCTGTCAGCCTTTGTGAAGCTAACTCGTTTCTATTTGCTCATAATGTAGTTCTCAAAATGACTCATATCAACAGATTTAAGACCTTCGAAAACTCCTTTCAGAGCCACCATATTCATTCCTTTGACGCTCATATGTCCAAGTCTATTGTGCCATAGACTTGAATTTGGAGCACTCTTAGTAGCAACATTCATGTTCATACACCTTGTAGTGGTGTATAAGGTTCCAGAATCTGTGTCACGTCCTACCACCATAACACCCTTCAAAATCTTCCACGAACTCTTCAACGCTGTTGTATAACCTGTGCTGTCCAACTGACCAACAAAGATTAGGTTCTTCTTGAGACTTGGAATATATCTGACATCCTTTAATGTCCACTTATTTCCTACCAGTTTTTTTATACAGACATCCTATTTTCTCTCAATCTTCAAAATTTATGGCTTTTGACTCTCTTATCCAAGTCACCTTTGATACTAACATTGTGACGAGTTATTTTTAAAAATTTAGGACATAAACTTGATAAGAGCATGTTTATTAGAATAAAATTTCTAAAATGAATTTCAAAGTTCATAAATTTATGCATTTATATGCTTAAAAACGTGTGCGATGTAGTTTTCTCTCAAAATTATATATGGGATTCTAAGACATTGATTTATATTGCAAACCAATTCGTTGGTGTGCACAAAATGGAACCGACCTATATGGCTTTTGACCCTCTAATCCAAGTCACCTTTGATACTAACATTTTGACGAATTATTTTTAAAAATTTAGGATATAAACTTCATAAGAGCATGTTTATTAGAATAAAATTTCTAAAATGTATTTCTAAATTCATAAATTTATGCATTTATATGCTTAAAAACGTGTGCGACGTAGTTTTCTCTCAAAATTATATATGGGATTCTAAGACATTGATTTAGATTGCAAACCAATTCGTTGGTGTGCACAAAATGGAACCGACCTGTATTGGTTTGTGGGGATAGTCTTCACTCTTAAGAAGAGAGAAGTAGGTGTCGGTAACGTGACCAAATCGCATGGGATGCAGGAGAAATGTTGGGGCCATCAGGTGGCGAATCTGGATTTCAAATCGTCGTTACTATGCAACAATCAAGTTAAAGGAGAGGTACATGAACGAACTGAGACTACCTTCCTTTTTGGTAGCTCAGTCATTGGAACTTCAAAGTTAAGCGCGCATTTCGTTTTTATGGTTGGGTGACCTCTTGGAAGTTTTCCTAGGATCACGTGAGTGAGGTCAAAACATACTTGAAGAACTTGTGTTGGTCTGTGGAGATAGTCTTCACCGAGGAGTAGGTAGCTTCTTATGGATTCTATTCCTAATTTATTCGACCTAGTTCATAAAAAAAAATTTACAATATGGTTTTGAGAAATGAATCGTCGAAAGCAGGGTTCAAACCTGCGCGGGCAAAGCCCAACAAATTTCAAGTCTGTCTCCTTAACCACTCGGACATATCAACCATTCCCTTGTTGGCATAAATTACGAATGCAAACTAAACACCCAACAAATTAATGATTTTACACCTAGGAAGCATGTTAGTGAGGACAAAACATGCTGGAACGACTTGTATTGATTTGTGGGGATAGTCTTCACTCTTAAGAAGAGAGAAGTAGGTGTCGGTAACGTGACCATGTCGCATGGGATGCAGGAGAAATGTTGGGGCAATCAGGTGCCGAATCTGGATTTCAAATCATCGTTACTATGCAACAATCGAGTTAAAGGAGGGGTACATGATCGAACTGAGACTACCTTCTTTTTTGGTAGCTCAGTCATTGGAACTTCAAAGTTAAGCGCGCATTTCGTTTTTATGGTTGGGTGACCTCTTGGAAGTTGATCTAGGATCCACGTAAGTGAGGACAAAACATACTTGAAGAACTCGTGTTGGTCTGTGGAGATAGTCTTCACTGAAGCGAGGGGTAGGTAGCTTCTTATGGATTCTATTCCTAATTTATTCGACCCAGTTCATAAAAAAAAATTTAAAATATGGTTTTGAGAAATGAATCGTGACAGCAGGGTTCGAACCTACGCGAGCAATACCCAACAGATTTCAAGTCTGTCTCCTTAACCACTCGGACATATCAACCATTCGCTTATTGGCATAAATTACGAATGCAAACTAAACACCCAACAAATTAATGATTTTACACCTAGGAAGCATGTTAGTGAGGACAAAACATGCTGGAACGACTTGTATTAATTTGTGGGGATAGTCTTCACTCTTAAGAAGAGAGAAGTAGGTGTCGGTAACGTGACCATGTCGCATGGTATGCAGGAGAAATGTTGGGGCCATCAGGTGCCGAATCTGGATTTCAAATCGTCGTTACTATGCAACAATCGAGTTAAAGGAGGGGTACATGATCGAACTGAGACTACCTTCCTTTTTGGTAGCTCAGTCATTGGAACTTCAAAGTTAAGCGCGCATTTCGTTTTTATGGTTGGGTGACCTCTTGGAAGTTGATCTAGGATCCACGTAAGTGAGGACAAAACATACTTGAAGAACTCGTGTTGGTCTGTGGAGATAGTCTTCACTGAAGCGAGGGGTAGGTAGCTTCTTATGGATTCTATTCCTAATTTATTCGACCCAATTCATAAAAAAAAATTTAAAATATGGTTTTGAGAAATGAATCGTGACAGCAGGGTTCGAACCTACGCGAGCAATACCCAACAGATTTCAAGTCTGTCTCCTTAACCACTCGGACATATCAACCATTCGCTTATTGGCATAAATTACGAATGCAAACTAAACACCCAACAAATTAATGATTTTACACCTAGGAAGCATGTTAGTGAGGACAAAACATGCTGGAACGACTTGTATTGATTTGTGGGGATAGTCTTCACTCTTAAGAAGAGAGAAGTAGGTGTCGGTAACGTGACCATGTCGCATGGGATGCAGGAGAAATGTTGGGGCAATCAGGTGCCGAATCTGGATTTCAAATCATCGTTACTATGCAACAATCGAGTTAAAGGAGGGGTACATGATCGAACTGAGACTACCTTCTTTTTTGGTAGCTCAGTCATTGGAACTTCAAAGTTAAGCGCGCATTTCGTTTTTATGGTTGGGTGACCTCTTGGAAGTTGATCTAGGATCCACGTAAGTGAGGACAAAACATACTTGAAGAACTCGTGTTGGTCTGTGGAGATAGTCTTCACTGAAGCGAGGGGTAGGTAGCTTCTTATGGATTCTATTCCTAATTTATTCGACCCAGTTCATAAAAAAAAATTTAAAATATGGTTTTGAGAAATGAATCGTGACAGCAGGGTTCGAACCTACGCGAGCAATACCCAACAGATTTCAAGTCTGTCTCCTTAACCACTCGGACATATCAACCATTCGCTTATTGGCATAAATTACGAATGCAAACTAAACACCCAACAAATTAATGATTTTACACCTAGGAAGCATGTTAGTGAGGACAAAACATGCTGGAACGACTTGTATTGATTTGTGGGGATAGTCTTCACTCTTAAGAAGAGAGAAGTAGGTGTCGGTAACGTGACCATGTCGCATGGGATGCAGGAGAAATGTTGGGGCAATCAGGTGCCGAATCTGGATTTCAAATCATCGTTACTATGCAACAATCGAGTTAAAGGAGGGGTACATGATCGAACTGAGACTACCTTCCTTTTTGGTAGCTCAGTCATTGGAACTTCAAAGTTAAGCGCGCATTTCGTTTTTATGGTTGGGTGACCTCTTGGAAGTTGATCTAGGATCCACGTAAGTGAGGACAAAACATACTTGAAGAACTCGTGTTGGTCTGTGGAGATAGTCTTCACTGAAGCGAGGGGTAGGTAGCTTCTTATGGATTCTATTCCTAATTTATTCGACCCAATTCGTAAAAAAAAAATTAAAATATGGTTTTGAGAAATGAATCGTCGACAGCAGGGTTCGAACCTGTGCGGGCAATGCCCAACAAATTTCAAGTCTGTCTCCTTAACCACTCGGACATATCAACCATTCACTTATTGGCATAAATTACGAATGCAAACTAAACACCCAACAAATTAATGATTTTACACCTAGGAAGCATGTTAGTGAGGACAAAACATGCTGGAACGACTTGTATTGATTTGTGGGGATAGTCTTCACTCTTAAGAAGAGAGAAGTAGGTGTCGGTAACGTGACCATGTCGCATGGTATGCAGGAGAAATGTTGGGGCCATCAGGTGCCGAATCTGGATTTCAAATCGTCGTTACTATGCAACAATCGAGTTAAATGAGGGGTACATGATCGAACATAGACTACCTTCCTTTTTGGTAGCTCAGTCATTGGAACTTCAAAGTTAAGCGCGCATTTCGTTTTTATGGTTGGGTGACCTCTTGGAAGTTTTCCTAGGATCCACGTGAGTGAGGACAAAACATACTTGAAGAACTCGTGTTGGTTTGTGGAGATAGTCTTCACTGAAAATTTATTCGACCCAGTTCATAAAAAAAAAATTTTAAATATGGTTTTGAGAAATGAATCATCGACCGCAGGGTTCGAACCTGCGCAGGCAAAGCCCAACAAATTTCAAGTCTGTCTCCTTAACCACTCGGACATATCGACCATTCGCTTGTTGGCATAAATTACGAATGTAAACTAAACACCCAACAAATTAATGCTTCTACACCTAGGAAGCATGTTAGTGAGGACAAAACATGCTGGAACGACTTGTATTGGTTTGTGGGGATAGTCTTCACTCTTAAGAAGAGAGAAGTAGGAGTCGGTAACGTGACCATGTCGCATGGGATGCAGGAGAAATGTTGGGGCCATCAGGTGCCGAATCATGATTTCAAATCGTCGTTACTATGAAACAATCGAGTTAAAGGAGGGGTACATGATCGAACTCAGACTACCTTCCTTTTTTGTAGCTCAGTCATTGGAACTTCAAAGTTAAGCGCGCATTTCGTTTTTATGGTTGGGTGACCTCTTGGAAGTTTATCTAGGATCCACGTGAGTGAGGACAAAACATACTTGAAGAACTCGTGTTGGTTTGTGGAGATAGTTTTCACTGAAGCGAGGGGTAGGTAGCTTCTTATGGATTCGATTCCTAATTTATTCGACCCAGTTCATAAAAAAAAATTTAAAATATGGTTTTGAGAAATGAATCATCGACAGCAGGGTTGAAACCTGCGCGGGCAATGCCCAATAGATTTCAAGTCTGTCTCCTTAACCACTCGGACATATCAACTATTCGCTTATTGGCATAAATTACGAATGCAAACTAAACACCCAACAAATTAATGATTTTACACCTAGGAAGCATGTTAGTGAGGACCAAACATGCTGGAACGACTTGTATTGATTTGTGGGGATAGTCTTCACTCTTAAGAAGAGAGAAGTAGGTGTCGGTAACGTGACCATGTCGCATGGTATGCAGGAGAAATGTTGGGGCCATCAGGTGCCGAATCATGATTTCAAATCGTCGTTACTATGCAACAATCGAGTTAAAGGAGGGGTACATGATCGAACTGAGACTACCTTCCTTTTTGGTAGCTCAGTCATTGGAACTTCAAAGTTAAGCGCGCATTTCGTTTTTATGGTTGGGTGACCTCTTGGAAGTTGATCTAGGATCCACGTAAGTGAGGACAAAACATACTTGAAGAACTCGTGTTGGTCTGTGGAGATAGTCTTCACTGAAGCGAGGGGTAGGTAGCTTCTTATGGATTCTATTCCTAATTTATTCGACCCAATTCGTAAAAAAAAAATTAAAATATGGTTTTGAGAAATGAATCGTCGACAGCAGGGTTCGAACCTGTGCGGGCAATGCCCAACAAATTTCAAGTCTGTCTCCTTAACCACTCGAACATATCAACCATTCACTTATTGGCATAAATTACGAATGCAAACTAAACACCCAACAAATTAATGATTTTACACCTAGGAAGCATGTTAGTGAGGACAAAACATGCTGGAACGACTTGTATTAATTTGTGGGGATAGTCTTCACTCTTAAGAAGAGAGAAGTAGGTGTCGGTAACGTGACCATGTCGCATGGTATGCAGGAGAAATGTTGGGGCCATCAGGTGCCGAATCATGATTTCAAATCGTCGTTATTATGCAACAATCGAGTTAAAGGAGGGGTACATGATCGAACTGAGACTACCTTCCTTTTTGGTAGCTCAGTCATTGGAACTTCAAAGTTAAGCGCGCATTTCGTTTTTATGGTTGGGTGACCTCTTGGAAGTTTATCTAGGATCCACGTAAGTGAGGACAAAACATACTTGAAGAACTCGTGTTGGTCTGTGGAGATAGTCTTCACTGAAGCGAGGGGTAGGTAGCTTCTTATGGATTCTATTCCTAATTTATTCGACCCAGTTCATAAAAAAAAATTTAAAATATGGTTTTGAGAAATGAATCGTGACAGCAGGGTTCGAACCTACGCGAGCAATACCCAACAGATTTCAAGTCTGTCTCCTTAACCACTCGGACATATCGACCATTCGCTTATTGGCATAAATTACGAATGCAAACTAAACACCCAACAAATTAATGATTTTACACCTAGGAAGCATGTTAGTGAGGACCAAACATGCTGGAACGACTTGTATTGATTTGTGGGGATAGTCTTCACTCTTAAGAAGAGAGAAGTAGGTGTCGGTAACGTGACCATGTCGCATGGTATGCAGGAGAAATGTTGGGGCCATCAGGTGCCGAATCATGATTTCAAATCGTCGTTACTATGCAACAATCGAGTTAAAGGAGGGGTACATGATCGAACTGAGACTACCTTCCTTTTTGGTAGCTCAGTCATTGGAACTTCAAAGTTAAGCGCGCATTTCGTTTTTATGGTTGGGTGACCTCTTGGAAGTTTTCCTAGGATCCACGTGAGTGAGGTCAAAACATACTTGAAGAACTCGTGTTGGTCTGTGGAGATAGTCTTCACTGAAGCGAGGAGTAGGTAGCTTCTTATGGATTCTATTCCTAATTTATTCGACCTAGTTCATAAAAAAAAAATTAAAATATGGTTTTGAGAAATGAATCGTCGACAGCAGGGTTCGGACCTGCGCAGGCAAAGCCCAACAGATTTCAAGTCTGTCTCCTTAACTACTCGGACATATCGACCATTCGCTTGTTGGCATAAATTACGAATACAAACTAAA